CTTCAAGTTGTGGTGACCCCAGCCATAACAGTATTTTTGTTGCTATTTCACAGCTGTGCTTTTGCTACTGTTATGAGTCGTAATGTAAACATCTGTGTTTTCTGATGGTCTTAGGCAACCTCTGTGAAAGAGTCATCCAGCCACCAAAGGGGTAACGACTCACGATTTGAGAACTGCTGGGTCAAGAGTTTGAATTCCTAATTCTCAGTGTCTGTCCAAGCTCAAATCCGGGTCTGTTATTGACCTATACTATTAAGACCCCAAAAACATAAGATTGTTTGGAGGTCTCAGTAGTGATACCAATCAATTGTGTTTATTGAACATTAAAGGCGACAATCCTAGTGAAACAGTCTCTACTAAACACATCAGATATTGCTAACATTGTTATCATGCACCTTGAGCTTATTTTTTGACACATTAAAATACTGAAAGTTTGAATTACAGGAAAACAGTGTACTTGTGAATTTTTAATCATTAACTACAGTCAGTAAACTTATTTCTTCAGCTGTATAATACCAATATGCATGAGTTGTTGACTATGTACTTTAAATAGAGATTTTGAAGGTTTTCCTTAGACGAGAACAGGAATTTTTTTAAAAAAACATCGTGTGTGTGTGGGGGGGGGTGTGCGTGTTTGTGTGTGTGTGTGGGGGGTGTGTGTGTGTGTTTGTGTGTGTGTGTGTGTGTATGTGTGTGCGTGTTTGTGTGTGTGTGTGTGCGTGTGTGTGTGTGTGTGTGTGTGTGTGTGTGTGTACATGCACATGTGGATAGCCAGAGGTCAGCCTCTGGTGTCCGTCATTCTCCAGGAGCTGTTCACCTTGTTCTTTGAGCAAGGGTCTATCACTAACCTGGAGCTCCATGGTTTGGATAGGTGGAGCAGCTCGCAGGTACCAGGGATCCTTCTGTCTCTACCTTACCAACACTGGGGGTACAAGTTTGTACCATATGTCTGCAAAAGTTGGCTGCGCTTTAGTTTCCCAGCTGCCCAACGTCTCCTTGACTCCACCTACTCTCTTTCTTTTACTCCACCTTCTATCTATCTATCTATCTATCTATCTATCTATCTATCTATCTATCT